TTTAGACTTGTGCTCTTCCCCGTTGCTTTCTACATATACACCAGAAGAACCCTCATCACGCATACCTGCCGTGGGCGGCTGCATCTACACATCAACACTCACCGCCGAAGTAAGCGTTGACTTCCAGCGAAGGGCGGAGTAGCTCGACAAGCTTGTGGAAACTGCCTTTCTCCATGCGGTACGACCGCCGCCACCCGTGCCGTTTATCGAGGTCCGCCTCGTGTTGAGCCCACGGAAGACGCTTGGGCTCGTAGATGGGCTCCCGTTCCTGAGGGCAGTGGGCACGATGAGCCTCTCCTGCTGCCACGACGCCCGCCGCCACTACTACGGCCCTCACAAGACCCAAGACTGTGAATCTCTTGTCATGGGCTACATCCTCCTCGTCGATAGCTCGCCGACGGCGCTTCTCCCGGCGTTGCGCTGCGATCCCCCTGGGATCTTGACGCTTCCCACGCTCAGGCATGGTAGTGGAGTTGCCTTGGGAAGCACTTTGGGGTGTTGTTGGTGCTGTCTAGGTGTGGTGTGATGAAGACAGCACGCGTGACCGGTGTCTGCTCCGGTAGTCGCAAAAAAGCGGGAAATTTTTCACCGAAACGTAAAAGGAGCAAGCCCCCAAAAAATACGCCTTGCTCTTTTTACGGAAACGTAGAGGAACGCCTCCATATATTTCAAGAAAATACGGTTTCGTAACCAAATACGTATTTTTTTGGCCTGATAAGACACACCCTTAGCTATACATCCAATTCTTCGTATTACTTCGTTTCCACCATGGTCCTGCTGATATTTTCTTTTCTTTTTTTATGTTGTTGGGGTCACAACACAGCAGCAAGTCACCGGCACCAGCTTTTCTTCCTTTTTTTTTGCCACTCCCTACAACCTTTCTTCCATCGTCCTGCTGATTTTTTCTTTGTTGCTGGGCTTACAGCACGTTGTTCCTCACAAACTTTTGTACAGACCTCCTGTGCGGCGTACGACCCAAACTAAGTCTTCGACGACCTCAAGGACGGCTGCACTGGAGAAATCAAGGACGGCGACATCATCGTCAGGTCCTCTTCGACGACCTCAAGGACGGCTGCACTGGAGAAATCAAGGACGGCGACATCATCGTCAGGTCCTGGGCCCTCCGGGACTCCCCGAAGGGACTCCACGCGCGCTGCGCGAAGCGCAAGCACACCGCCGTGGTAAGCCCATGAACATCGCTTTTCTACCTTTAGGTTCTTCCTTCTCTTTTTAGTCCGTGTCAATTTATTATATTGTTTTCTTTTATATTCAATATAATTCGGTATGTCTTCCTCTTTCTTTTTTTTGCTTTTCTTGCTTGCCGTATCCCATCTCCTTTTCATGGGTAGCGTATTGTTCACGGTAATCTTTTAGATAATTATATTACTATTTCGTTTTGTGGATGACTTTTTTTTTCAGCCTCTTTGTTTTTCCGTACCGCTTTCGCGCTTCTTCTACCGTACATCCAACAACTAGGTGAAGGAGTTCCTGGCCGAGAAGAAGTACCGCATGGCCTCCGGCACCACCGCTGAGGAAGAAGCCAAGGCCCCGTCCGTCGAGATCCCCGCCGACTTCGAAGACTTCTGAACGGTGCGCACATTCCTCGCGTTTTTTGGTGTATATTATTAGGCCTTGCCAGCCACTATTACAAGCATTCAGCTCAATTGAAAATTATTTTCCATGACCAGTGGACTTCCTCCTAGTAATTGCCGCCGTGTAACTCGGTCAGCATCTCGTGTTGAACGTATCGACGATGAGTATCGTCAACAATGCCGTACAAACCGTGCCCACCGAATGCAAGCACTACGTGTGTTGCGTTCTGCTCCCCGTTCTACCTCAATTAGTCGTGCGGCCGCAAATAGACGAGCAGCTCGACGTCGGATAATGGACCGGCGAAGACGTAGCCGAACAGGTAATTCCCCTCACCATTCAGATGCTGCCATAATTCGCGACCACTTCACTCGTATGCGCTCGCCTAGACATGCCACCGCGTCCATCAGAGTCCTGTTTTCAAAGGCATTCGCCCATTCAACTCACCAATAGACGAAGACGTCGTTCAAACCTTCAAATACAACGACCTAGAAGACGTACGCAACTGTGTGTGTCCTCACTGTCAATCCATGCTATGGAAAGAAGAGAGAGCAAAACGATTCAGTTGCTGCGGTAACGGCGAATACGCCATACACAGGTTGAAAGATATTCCTGTCAACGTGTGGGAAATTTACAACTCGCCACACTTCCACCGCCACCAGAGGAAATACAACAACCTGTTCTCCTTTACTGCTCTCGCCGCCAATGGGTTACGACACCAAACATGGTGTGGCCCTTCCACGGGGAGTACAATGTTAACCATGCACGGTAGAGCGTACCATCGCATCTTTGATTTGCAACAACACTACGCAGGAATGAACGTCGCAAACTCAACCCGATATTACATTTATGACTCCGAGTTTGACTTACAGTCTCGCACCCTTGACGTCAACCTCGAAATGGCGGCGTCCTTGCGTTCCTACTTCCATAACACCCTCCCGTGGGTTGTACAATAGTGGAGTGCTGTAGACGAGGTTTTGCGAAACAACATTATTCCTTCAGAACCCGCTGTCATAGAATTCGCAGAGGCAAGCAGGGTTGACGATGGCCACGTACTTAACGTACCTCAGGCTCCCGAAATTGCCGCAATATTGTATGCCTCCAAAAGTCAATGCTCCTCTACTCAGCCCATTATCACCTACCCAAGGGACAGTCCTGACAATCAGCCTCGTTTTTTTGCCCTCTATTCTCCTTGCTACGAACCCTTACAATACCCATGTTTATTTAACAGTGGAGAAAGCGGATGGAGTAGAGGTCACTACAGCGAGACACCTCGCAACATGTCTCCAACGATGAACCGTGCTGGCACCAAGCACGTTCCATTCCAATCTTACTGTCGTCAACGCCTACTATCTGAACCAATCTTCAAACGTAATAGCCGAATTGCCTAGGAGTGATGTTGCGATGTGTTTTCGCGTTTCGAAGAAAATAAATTGACTTCTTTCGAGTCTGACTACTTCCAGAATGAGCTTCGCCTTGCTAGTAAGCGACCTATCACCGAGTCCATAGGCGACAACCAGCCTGGGAATTTATTTCCTTCAACCTTGCACGGATCGCCCTTAAAACGCAAATCCGATACAGAAGATGCTCTTAGTATTGTTAATCGCCGAGGTCGGCCTCAACTGTTCATAACTATCACGTGCAACCCCGAGTGGCCTGAAATTGTTGCCAATCTTATGCCTGGCCAAAAAGCTGCAGATCGTCCAGACCTTTGCTGCAGAGTTTTTAAGCACAAGGTAGCACAGATAATCGCTGATCTCAAATCAGGAGAAGTGTTTGGCGAGCTCGACTTTTTCTTCCATACTATCGAGTATTAATCTAGAGGGTACCCTCACTGTCACTGTATCTGCCGATTCAAAAATGATGACGCTTTCACCAACATGGACTCCTGGGTGTGGGCACAATTGCCTTCTGAGGACATCGCAGACGGCCGTCTACGCGAAGCAGTCTTGAAGCATATGGTTCATCGCCCGTGCGGGGGACACAACGTGCACGCCCCATGCATGTCCACTAACAAGACCACAAAGAAATCATACTGCAACAAACACTACCCTCAGCCCTTTCGGTCCACAGCTACAGTCAATGAAAAATCTGGACGCGCTGAGTACAAAAGAATCGACAACGATGACCGCCCCACAATCCGTCAACGGGTACAACATAAATGGGTTGATGTGGAGATTGGCAATGAGTGGATTGTCCCTTACGATCTCTTACTCCGCTACAACTGTCACATCTGCACTGATATCGTTACTGGATCTTGCGCGGTTAAATACGTTTATAAATACGTAACGAAGGGTCAAGACTTAGCCCGTGCCCGTGTTGCCGGCATAACCAGCGAAATTGAACAATACAGCAAAACCAGATATGTTTCTGCTGCTGAAGCTACCTGGCGCATGCTTGGATATGATACTATGTGTCGTGAGCCTGCCGTCACCGTTATTCAGGCGCACCTAGAAGGCAAGCAAAACGTCATGTACCCTTCTAATGCCACCGATGATGTGCGTCGTCAGCACGCGGAAGATGCTGTGTCCGATCTCATGAGGTACTTCAAACGCCCCCTCGACGACCGCTTCAGCAACCTAACCCTCCTCGACTACTTCGAGCTGTACACCGTCACGAAAAAAATGAAAGACGCTCCCATGCCTGAATCCGCGCCACCAGGCAAATGGTTGGACTCCTACGGTAACACCATCTCCGAGCGAAAAAAGTCCCATGTCTGTCGCATCAAGTTTCAGTCTCCTGCCGTCGGTGATCTTTATTATGTCAGACTCATCCTCCACAAAAACTCTGGCAGAACTTTTGCTGATTTGCGAACAGTCACTGCTCCGTCTGGGGTCCGCACAGAGTACGCGACATTTCAAAATGCAGCCAGAGCACAAGGATTAGTAACTGGCCAAGAAGAATACTTCATTTGCATGGAAGAAGCCATCACTTTCGAAATGCCTTCTCAACTACGCGGTCTCTTCGTCACTCTCATTTTGGACAGTGGGCCTGTCCCTAAACTGTGGAATGATTACAAGGAACACCTCATCGACAATTTTACATGTACTATGGACAATACCGATGCCTGCCAGGAAGCATTGCGTGTTGTCGACTTTAAATTACAGCACCATGGCAAAGCAAACGCACAGGTTGGCCTCCCTGAACCCTCACATCGTCAGACCGAGTACCAACGCATCGTAGCTTCTTTCAATCCCTCCGAACAAGCAGCTTACGCAGACAAATTCGAGCCAGGTTTGACATCAGAGCAGAGACACGTCTACAATGCAATAGTTAACGCTGTTCGAAACAAACAACCTCAGCCGTTCATGATTGACGCCCCAGCTGGAACAGGCAAGACCTACACCAAGAAAGTTATCGCCGCTCGTTTGAGGAGTGAAGGTTTCACTGTTTAAATCGTCGCTTCCACTGGAATCGCAGCCCTGCAACTTCCCGGCGGCTGGACTGCTCACTCCATGTTTAAACTCCCCCTAAATGAACAAGTCATGGACGGAGCCTTCTGCAACGTAAACAACGAGTCCCAGCGCGCCGAACTCATTCGTAAATGTGACCTCATTATTTCGACGAGCACCCCATGACCCACCGCTACTGTATCGAAGCTCTCGAGCGCACATTAAGAGACATCAGGCGATCCCAGGCATTATTTGGTGGACTCACCATATGCTTTTCCGGTGACTGGCGCCAATGTGGCCCTGTAGTACCTTTCGGATCAGCCGCTGACACGGTCG